ACGGGACACTCAGTGTGAGCACCTGCCTCAAGGTAAGGCCCTGAATTGCTGTGCAGAAGCGGAGGCGTGCAGCAGTTTCCATGAGGCCATAGTCACTGCTGTGCATTATGTTAATGGCAGTACGCTTTTCAGGACACCTAGGAGCCTGGCGTGGGCACCCTATTCCTGGCAAGAACCCTGAATACCCCCAGGACCCCCCTGGGCCTGCTAAGCAACATCCAGGCCCGTAGCCCTCTGGAGCCACTCTGTATATGCCGAGTGTAGGGCAGCACACTGCACTCTTTCTTGGGACAGCTTGAAATCCCCAGCACTCCCAAAGGTTCACGAACACCGTTCTGGCAGGTCCAACATGCCGTGGAAGTCTAAATCATTGCCCTTGTCTGAGCTGCACTGAGAAAAACCCTCGGCATCACATTCCTTCTAGAACCTCTTACCTGAAGTCACCCTGCCTCCAGGAGAAAGTCGGCTTCTGTTCCGACTGCATCTAAAGCCACGTTTTTCGTGTAACACTGCAGGGTTTTGAAGAGCCGCAGGCCCGGAGGCCTACCTAGGGGTTCCTTCACTGAGGCAGTTCGCTAGACACAGAACACCCTGCTTTGAGGAGTTGATTCAAGGAAGGTACCACTGGGTAACCTGTGTCTCTTTTGACTTGTTAGAAACCACAGGGATGTATGCTGCATGTGCCCATGGAAATGGTGGCCTGATGGAACTAGCCGAGCTTTCCCATTTCGAAAGCTCCATTCATTCATGTTGCCTTGAAGCTACCTGAAATTCACTGCTGTTGACAGGCCTCTAGGCACCGTAGGCATGGCTGTGGGAGGAGAATGAGTTTTCTCTAGCTAAACTGGGTGCTTCCTTGGCCGGGGTGGAGCTCATCGTGGCATGCTCTAGATCTAAAGGGAAACTCAACATGAGTACTTGCCTCAAGGCAAGGCCCTGAAAAGACGTGCCTTTTCACAGGCAGGGGACATAGGAGATATTAGGACTTTGTGTTCAGAAAGGGAGGTATGCAGCTGTTCCCACGAGTCCTTAGTCGCTGTTCTGCTTTATTTTAAAGGAAGTTCCCTTTTCAGCACTCCTATATCCCTTGGGTGTGCATCATTTCCCTCCAGGATCACTGAGTACCTCCAGACCCCTGTGGGCCTGCTGAGCAACATTGAGGAAGATAGGTCGGTCCCTCGGAGGCCCTCTGTGTATTTCGAGTGATGGGCAACACACTGCACGTCCCTTATGAGAGCTACATTTCCAGAGCCCTCGCACAGCCTTCAGTACCTCATTTCTGGCTAGTCCGAAGTGTCATGGAATACTTCGTCATGGCCATCGTCTGAGCTGCCATGGGAAAACACTCTGCTTAGAATTCTTCAAGGAACTCGTACCTGAAGTCACTCTGCTCGAGGAGAAAGTCAGCACCCTACCATGCTGTGTCGCTACCGGGACACTCAGCGTGAGCACCTGCCTCGAGGTAACACCTACTGCATGCTGTGACCCATCTCAGCTGTGAGCACACAAGCCACAAGCATGTGCTGAGTGCTGTGCGCCTCCCAGCCAGTCCCTGAAGGTGAGGGCGGCCCTGCAGACCCCAGCCCTCTCCTCCACGTCTAGTAGGTAGAAGACCCACCTCTGCTTGCCATTCCAGAAGCGGTTCTGGGGATGTCCTGGGAGGGCTTCTGCGGTTATGCAGGTTGAGCCCCTGTTGCTACGCCGCCACTTCCCCACAAGAGCCTCCAGAGCAAGCAGTTTGCCCTGTTGCCTGAATGACCTCCCAGAAGTTTTCTCAGGAAAGAATCAGGGGTTTCTGTAGCAGCATCTCCAGGCAGCTCTGCATCTGGATCCACGTTCACATCTTCTGTGTAAACACCGAGAACCTTCCCTGACACGTGCCCCCGGCTGACCACCTCCGCATGCCGAGCACAGGCCCCAGTGTGGGCGTCAGACTGACCGCCCGTCTCAGCCTCCTGTTGTTGTCAGAGCTGCTCCAGGCCCTGCTCAAGCCCCGTGCACCCAGCTTTCACAGGGCTGTCCTCCACCCCCACCTTCAGCAGGAGTTCACCTAAGTATTTAAGTGAAGGGGTCCAGAGATAAGAAAGGAAGCTGCAAACAAAGAAACAGATGGAACCACCTGTGACCAAGATGGCAACGAATGTGACCTCCAACAGACCCCGAATCTCATCACGGTTGAATTTACTATATCAGCATATTAAGTGACACACCCACCGGCGGCCATGGCTGGACATGAAGGACCAGAAACGGGTAAAAGGAGGTGGTACCCCAGCCTCTTGGAAGAAGCCCCGCCTCTTCCCCGGAAGGTCTCTTCATGCCATCACTAGCCTCCCTCCTCCTCCCTTTGTCTTTATTGTTTAAAATTAAACCTCTCTCTCCAGGAGGGCGAGAAGGCGACCTGTGAACTCAGTTCCCGCTTCTCCACTCTTTGGCCACTGAGTAGAGCCTGTGCTGTGTTGGTCTCGGCTTTGGTTCTGTTATTTGCCTACTTGAACCCACGTGGAAAAAGGAAACCTTCCCCGCTGGGGCAGAGCGCCTCGCAGGCTGGGGCCCGACCAGGGTCCACATGACTTCACTTGGTAACAGTCTGTAAGGGGACGGTGGTCTCTGCCCGCGGGGTGGGGAGGGAACACCTACAGCCACAGCACCGGCTCTGTGGATGGCACGGCCCCTTGTGGGCCTGGACCGTGTGCTCTCGTCCCCCCACGCCTGACACCCCCTGACAGTCGTGACGTGGTGACACTGGCTGCTGGGCGTCCAGTCAGGAGGGACCAGAGGCAGCACCTGGTGCCAGGTGAGACGTGCCTTTTCACGGGCAGGGGACATAGGAGATATTAGGACTTTGTGTCTAGAAAACAAACCAAGCGGCTAGAAGGTGACCTGAGTCGTGGACTTGAAACCCATGTGCGCGGTGAGGGCTCCCACTGGACACTGGCTCGGGAGCTTCTGCACAGGCGAGACCACACCCGTGCTTCCCGCCCGACCCCTCCAGGCCTCCTTGCAGGCACAGCTGGGCCTGCGCCCCTCAGGTTCCCCAACCCAGAGCCTGGAGGGCTGATGCTGGCAGGGCCTGGGGACGCGAGGGGTCCCTCCACCAACGCTGCTCGGCCCCTCCAGCCCAGTGACCAGGGGAGGGAAGCCCTGTGGAGTCTGAGGCCCGGCACAGGCGAAGCTTGCACCCCCTCCCAGGACCCCCAGCCCCGCCCTGCTTCCTCAGGCCCACCGCCTGCCCCTCCCGGTGCCCGCGTCCCACCGACCCACATTCCCGGTGTGTACGTCCACGTGCACAAGCTGCCCTGTCTCCTCTTCCCACATGGGACACCCCCATCCCTACTTCTCCCTAATGACGGCCTGGACCCGAATGTTCTGGGCAGGAAGAGGGCCGAGGAGGATGCCGGCCTGTCCCGCCTGCCTCCCGGGGGCCCAGACACAGGGCTCGGGGGCTGCTGGGCCTTGAGGTCTGGATGCTCCCAGGTGTGGGATGAAGCCGCCACTGCCCAATGGAGCTGCTCTTTCCGAGACTCAGGAAACAGGGGGACCCACCAAATGGAGCCCGTCCCCAAGCTCTGCTGCAAGCCTGCTCGGATTTGCTCTCCCGATCCTGAAGACAGACCTGCGGGAAACAGGGCCTGCGATTCCCATACTGACGGTGTTCTGTGGAATTTCCACTAGACCCCTTCCTACCCTGTTCTGAGCAAATTACTAGTCAGTCCATGCTACCATCACCCTATGAGCAGACCAGGAAGCTGAGGCTCCGAGAAGCCAAGTAATCCAGCCGGAAGCACAGCTGTGGGACCACGGAGTGGGGTCTGCACCTGCCGCCCGCCCAGGGGGACTGCCCACTCCCCGCATCTTCCATGCCTGTTCCCTTCACCCCCTCCCAGGACCAGCTCGAAGAGCCTCCTCTTGGGGGGATTCACTTATCTTCTTCTAACAGGATCCGTCTCACTATCCTGTTCTGGGGTCACCCGGAAGGCTTGTCACTGAAGCAGGATCAGCCTCACGTCACCAGGGCAGCTTTCCTGGATCACACGCACCACCTGCACGTCCACTCCCAGCTCAGACCCAGAAAGGTCCCCTCGGCCCCGAGCCCCATGGCTCTGCCTGGGCTCCCACCTCCTCCTGCCTGCTCCGTCCCTCTCATGTCCCCTGCAGGGTCACCAGGAGCTCCCACCTGCCCCAGACAGGCTGTCTGCTCTGTCCTGGGGAAGCCTCCGTGGTGTCAGGTGGAAGACATAAGAGGTACCCGGGGGGCCTCCCTCACGCAGCCCAGTGGCCATCTCTCTGGATGGACGGGTTCAGGGGGCCCGTGGCATCTCCCGGTTCTCATTTCATCCCAGCGCTGCCCACAGGGAAGTTGCTAAGCAACTCTGTGCCGGCTGCACAGAGAGGGCGCTCATACCCACGCCCCCCCCCAGCACACGGGGCCCTCGTGGCCAGGCCCCTCCCAGGATATGGAGCTCACCTGAGCAGGAACCCAGCAGCCCACGGGGCTCTCGTGGTCAGGCCCCTCCCA